GAGAGAGAGAGAGAGTCACCAGCCAACGAGTCATCGACGTGGGGAGTCCACGCCGAGAGCGGTCAGAGGATTTCTGAGCGAGCGCACAGTGGTAGCTGATGTATTTTGACGTGCCCGATGAGAGAGGCCGCTCTCTCTGTTGACTGCATTATCTAATGGACCACCCTCTCCGCCTTCGTTCCCCTTCCGTCTTTTTCTCTTCTGTCACTCTTCCACTCTTTCTCTCTCGCCTGTCCGTTTCTCTCCCGTGCCCCTTTCGTCGCGGCCTTCCCGCTCGATGTACGGCGACTCGGCATTTCAGCTATCTGCGATCTACCACCGATCAGGAGACAACCGTCCACGAGTTGCATGACTCTGGTTTCATAATCGACCACGGATTTCTTCCTTTTTCCGTTATGCATCTTGCGTAATCATCGATGTCGTCGATGTAGTCGATGTCGTCGCATGCGATGGTCGGTCTCGAATACGCCAAAAGATTCAAACGGGAATATTTTTGGCACTTTTAGGAATGTACGAATAAATAGGCTCGATAGATCGGTGATCAGAAGCACGAATGTGGGAACGCTCGGATGACATAGTCGAGTACCCAAAGTATGCAATTACGCGCTTGGGGATAATTAAGATCGCGGAAGATACACAAGAAAAGGATAGACGCAGATGATAACGATCGAATACCACGATGTTTTTCCTCCGCCGTTCGTAGGAATGCGAGAAAGAAGCTAGCGCTTTGAAATCCTGAGACGATATTGCCCCGATAGTTACCGGGTTACCAGCCCAGAGCTCCGAGCGCGAGCTCTCGGTACCGAACGTGCTCGATTTGGTCGTGAAAGAAGTTACGTCGCAGTTACATCCAAGACGAGGTAACGCGCAAAAAGCTCGAGTATCTCCGACGGGTACCGAGAGATGAGGAGGAAAGGAGTGAGAGAGGAGGAGAGAAAGAGAGAGAAGGAGAGAGGAACGAACTGTGGAACGGCAGAGTTTTTCGCGACCGGCAAAGTATTGTCCGTCGTCGTACACTCGCGTCTCGTTGGAGCTCAAGAGAGCGAGATCGTGCGACCGTGACTCTAGAATCATCCCTAAGACCTTAGACCCCCGCGCAGCTACGTCCGCGCCCAGCCATCACCAACACTGTTCCGTGCAATCTTTCTCTTTGCTATCCTCTAGCATCAAATTACCAGTTCCTCCTCGATCTAAGACCCGCTGTCGTCGTCGCTCGATTGGTATCTTCCGAGGGACACACCGTGTCGGTGTTTTCTGTCGAGTTTGCGCGGCGGTCACGGACGAACTCGATTAGATACAACAATGCCTGTCGCCAAGGATTCGCAGATTCGGTATTCACGATGATGCCCTCTTCGTGCCACGATGACGGCAAAAAGAAAGGAAAAAAAAATAATGTGACGCATATCCGTGTAAAAGAATATCCCGACTGGTCTGTATTTAAGAAAAATCGGGACAATGTAGTCAACCGCATAAAGGGGATCCTGTCTGAGTTTACAATCATGAGGATCGGCGTGAGCGGCTCTCACGCGATTGCCTAACAAAGTATCACGGAAGAAAAAAAAGGCTCGTCCTTCGTCGCGAGTCAGCAGCATCCCGCAGATCTGCCGGATACATCGTTCGTCCTGGCCTGGCACGGCGTGGACAATCTTCGGATCCTTGGAGCGAGCAGCCCCATTCCGGGCAATTCTTTGCCGGCTCGCGTGTATCCTTAGTATGCAACGTATGCAGTCGGTTGTTACCGAAGGAGTGGTTTGCTGAGCGGCCAATGGCGAGTGCTCGAGCTAATTCTAGGGTGCCGCCGCCGCGCCATCTTTGCATCATAATGTTGTCCCCCCGTACCCCGGCGCTCGCTCGCTCTCTCTCCCCCCGTTCCCTCCTCACCGTCCCTCCCGTCACTACGAGAAGTCTGCCCCCTTCTTCCTCTCTGCCGCTGCCGTCCCGTAACCACCTCTTCCCTCTGCCCTCCTCGTCCTCCTGTCCGCCCCCACCCTCTCCCACTTTCTCTCCACCCTTGTTTCATTTCACGTAGGAGAGAAAGAAAGAGAGAAAGAGAAAGAGAGAGGACGAAGGAAACGAAACATCAGGTGAAAGAGAAAGATGGAGAGAGCGAGAGAAAAGGAACGAAGAGAAACGTCTCGGAGGCGCGTTATGCCAAAGTGGATAAGGAGAAGAGTGCACGAGAGGGAAACGAAGAGGTGTATAGGCAGGGAGGAAAAGGAGGGGCACGCGGCTATGGCGAAGAGGTAGAGGGGACGAAGGGGTTGTCTGCGCCTTGTCTGCCGGGAATCAATCACGTATCAGTGATGCTCAACCGGTGGCCACCTGCGAGATACGATCGATAGGATCGTGATATCCGTTTACGATGGCTCGTCGATGATATCCGCCGTTGAATCCGAACTGTAGAGTCACGGCGGATCCGCGGACGTTCAATTTCAGTTTGAGATCCAGGAAAGCGGCGAGGAGGACGACGCCTCCGTCGCGACATTTGATCGCCCGCACATGCGCATACGTACACCACACCGAGACACACGCAGCGAGATTCAAGAAAAAGTTCTTGATATTCTCGCGATGCTGTGATGTGTGGTCGAATGAGAAATGCATTTGCATCTAAAGTGGATGGATGCCTTTGCCACGGACTCACGACGATTTACTTCCACGGCGGCAATACGATCCTCTGATTACCGTTCCAGAAATGACGCGCGAGTGGAGGGCGATTAAAGCTGCGTGCCCTAATCTCTCATGCTATACCGACGAGAGCGAAGATAAGGTAATGTCGTCGTAGTCGAGTATGCTCACGGCGACGTGGTACCTACGCCTCGCGCTACCGTCTTACCTGTCAGGGTAGGGTAATGTTAAATCGAGAGAACATGAGTAGGAGCTACCGTCTTCCGTCGAGCTACCATCACGAAGAATCCACGACAGATCCATCTTGGTCAACCGACCGTATAAGGAATGCGTATTTATACGTATGGGAGGATAACTCGTGTAAATTATTAATATCGGAAAAAGGAGGTAAATCAATATGCGTGTTTGTCCTTTTTTTTTTTTTTTTTTTTTTTTTTTTATTAAGAATCTTCGATGCTCGAAAGAAGCGTGCACTTGCGATGTTGCTGTTGCCTTTACAACGTTTTGGGAGATCGAAGAAATGAAATCGAGGAGGCAGAGTAAACCGATCGAACCCTAATCTTTTTGTCTCGGGGCAAATCTTTACGCGGGAGAATCGAACGGACACAAGAACCGGTCAACGTCTCTCGACGGACGGGGACGCGCCGCGCCGCGCCATTATTCGTCGAAGTCGGCGCAACGAGGAACGATCAAAGCGGAATCGTCGTCGAACAAAGCCGGGGCTCGCGAGAGAGGTCGAACCGAAAGTGTCGAGGGCCGAGATGCGTCCGGAGAAGATACAATGGCCGGATGCGTCGGTTCACAATGACGGAAAATAATTAAATCGGGCGCAGAGAGCAAGAAAGAAAGAGAAAGAGAAAGAGCTCATTCAAAGATGCCGACGCGGGGGGTGGGGGGTTTCGACCGATCAAAATCGATCGACCTGTACGCTATATATCTGAGCGATAACTAACCTACGTCGCACACCCGTCGTCGACGAATCTGTGCCCTCCTACATGTCGCGCGTATGTGTACGTGTGTGTCTTTGAGACGCATATCCGCATGTGCGCGCATCACAGCGGATTGATTTCGCGTAAGTCTCTGCACTGGCAGACAAAGAACGGGAACGTTGGAATCCGGAAAAGAAGTCTGAAAACGTGGCAACCAAGAATGAATGATTTGACACGAAAGAACGAATAACAAGCCTACCTGCATTGTCGTAACACTTGTGGTCAACAACAAGTCGCCTTGAAATACCTTCGTGACACAATTTCAAACAAGTACGAAGAGAAACTTTTTTCCAGTGGGACTCCATCCGTCGCGTTCCATGCTGAATTTTTTCTAAATCCAAGTCTGTCTTGAGAGAACATAAACGTATAAAAGTATATAAAATGTATCTTCAATAATTTATTCCTTTTACATGTTTTATCTTAAATTAATTGCGTTTCTTCGCATAATCGGCTAAATATCATCGGCAAAGCAAATGAAGAAAATGATGAATGACAGACTCGGAAAAGCGATTATCCTTTTCTTCTTATCGAGGTTTTTTATACGTGTTTGCATATATTCGCATTAGCTTAATACTCATATAATACTCATATATTATGCAAAGGTCAGAAGTCCGATGCAGCTCCCTGTATCTTTTTAGCGGCGTGACTCACTGTGAGAAATCGATAAACGATTCGTCTCGGGCGTTCGACTCGAGCGGCTACCGTCGGATCTGCGCACGGTAGCTGGCGAGACGATCGGACCCCTGCCTAGACGTGTACTTTGAGTTTTCGGGCCCGCCGTGCTCAGTGTGAAGCCCCCCGCTGTAGAATGATACGCCAGGATAATTTCATCGGACTCTGACCACGCCGGGGTTCCGCCACCTGGGGGAACGGAGATGGTCAGCGCGGATTTGCCGCGTCTGCTTTCTCGTCACTCCGTACTTGGAAATGCGCGGAATCGACATTCGTCGCCCTTATAATAGTCATTCTAAACGACCGTTGTTCTCTTTTGTTGCAGTGGTCTACCAGAAACGGTTAAAGAAGGAACGGAGAGTGAGGAAACGGCTGCAGGAGCAGTTGGACCTGGAGATCAAGAGGCGCACGCAACTGGAGGAGGCCCTCAAAGCCACGGGCGCGTCCTCGGAGCAAGTCAGAGCGATTACCGGTACGTGCGAATCGCCCTCTCCACGAACAAGCTTCCACACTGGCAAATTTATATTATCGAGATTGAAAAGTATCATTTACTTAAGGAGCTTATATACTCGAGAGCTTAAGGAGAAAATTTTGGAAACGCTGTTCTCGCGCTTTTCGTTCATATTTCTTTCGCATCGTGCTGGGAGAGGGGGAAAAAAAAAGATTTCGATTTTCATCGCGTAGATTAGACGAGAGACGCGGGCTATCGCTGCAAATGGACGGGTTTTCTTAGGATTTCGCGAGCTCGTCGTCAGTCTCTCCGTTAACAGCCCCGAGGCCAGCGGTGATCTCGGAATAAATTAATTAATACGCCGAGGCAGAGCAAACAGCCTGACACCCGGCAGAATATGATTCCTTACTTATCCCCCCTGCCGGCGATGCAATCCCTCTCTCCGTCGTCGGCTGGCTGATGGCAGCCTGTTTCTCCCTTCTATCCTCCGTCCTCCCCCCGTCACTCCGGCACCTTGACTAGGCACCGCGCGTCTCTCGCCCCATGATCCTCCGGCAAGTAGAAGTAGCAGCAACAAGCGGCACGCCACCCTTCTTCCTGTCACTACCAAAACTCAAACGCGAAACCCTTTAAGTGAAATCTCTTATTCCGATATAATGTTTCGTCTTGTGGCCCCACCACCTTCCTCCGCTCTGCCTGCCTTCTCTACCATCTCTTCCACCTCATCGTTTTCGCGTTACCTCCCCCGTTGCTGCCGTTGCCGCCGCCGCCGCCGCCGCTGCTGTTACTGCTGCCGTCACCGGTACCGCTGATTAATCCTGTCAAATCCAGAGAGTCGCGATACTAATTTCAAATCAAACGGCACTCCACTCTGCCACTTGAACGACCCGTCGGGGTGAGTCGCGAGACGATCACGGGCTACCTTAAAAGTGTGTTTCTCGCTTCTTCGTCGATGCTTGAATCTTGTGCCTATTCCGCCGCTCACACGCCACGTCAGGGCGTAAATTTAGAGGCGAACTTTTTTTTTTTTTTGTTAAACATCGCGATAATCGGACGAATTCTATCTTTCTGTGACGCAGAGAACGTAACGGCGGAGGCGCGCACGAGTTCGGAGCCGCCGGAGGCTAGCCCGGTACATTCTCAGTCGCAGCAGCAGTCGTCGCAGCAACAACAGCCGCAGCAACCCCTTCAGCAGCAACAGGCAGCGGCCCAGCAGTACCGGGAGGCGCAAGTGCCGCGTCCTTCTCAGCAACCGTCGACGCCGGAGAAGCCCGCATGGGGATACGGGCTGGATCTCATCGGTAGCCAGGCGTCGGCCTTCTGGCAAAACTACCAAGGTCAGTTCTCCCAACGGCACGCTACTTCACCCTCGTCGTACCCCATTGCGATCGGTCTCGCCGACAATTCGCAGTTCCCACGGTGTTGCCACGGAATCGCGCGCGGAAAAATAAACAGGAAATATTTAAAGCCACTTATCGTTAACGGAGGATAGTCATGTCGTTCCCGCCTCTCCGCCTCTTTTCCCGATATCTCGAAATCCCAGCCATGTCCCAATACGGCGGTGTTCTCTTCGGGTTTCACCGTCGAATTACACTACCTCGTCGAGATATTCCGAAAAGAATTCGAAAACGTCCGAAAGTTGCCTGACGAGAGGGAATAAAATCGTCCAGGAAAGCTGCTATCTACATTATAAAATTTACGGTAATTCGAGAAAGTAGCAGTCGCGTGTTAGAAACTTGAGATCAAGGGGATACGGGACGGGGGAAGGACGATCCGAAGATCCAGGCCCAGAGCCAGCGGCGGGATCCGCCGCTAATTCGGATAATCGCATTCCCGTATTAGGATCCACTCAATTTTTCTGATCTTCCGGCCGAGTGCTTTCGATCCTCGATTACCCTGACAAAAAAAAGAGAGAAAGAGAGAGAAGAAAAGAGAGGAGATTGACCCCGAGGGCGAGAGAGACAGCGCGGCGGACGGCGGTAGTATGTCGTGGTGGTATCGTGCAAAGTAAATTATTCGAAAGATCTCGAGCGAGAGCAATCACGCCGCCGGCAATAACAACCCCGTGCACGAAGAGGGTAGAAGGGGGAACGGAGAAGAGAGAGAGAGAGAGAGAGAGAGAGAGAGAGAGAGAGAGAGAGAGAGGGTGAGAAAGGGAAGGTGAGGGGGGAGGGAAGGAACCGAACTGGTCCTGACGAGGAAACACGAGGTATTTGAATAGGGTCCCGAAGCCACCCGGGCATCATGATGCGGAATCCATTTGCAATAAACAACGGAGATTTAGACGGGGGTGACGCGGGAGAGGAGAGACAACGAGACGAGCAGAGCGGTAGCGTCAAGATAGGAGAACGGGACGGGAGAGGGTGACCATCGAGAGGAAACACGGGGAAAGAGGTTCGACGTAACGTCGTCTGAGGTGGGTACTTACGCCACTGAGGGGACCTCGGGGGCCACCGCCGCCGCGTCTTCGAGTCATGCATTCTATACGAGCGATGGCTCTCATTCCATTCACGTCGCCATTGAGGAACATGTCTCCCGTAACATTCAAGTTTTTTAGCCTATGCACCGATGCACTATCCCGATATTGCAACTTAAACATTCGTCGAATCGGTTATCTAAAAGTATTTTGTATATTAATTGTGTAACAGGACGTTCAAACAGACCGATTCCCCTCTTTCGTCGAAAAGTATTCGCGTTGCCACCTGTTTCAATTGATCCTAAATCCTGACGCGGCGTAAGCTCTAGCTATCAAAATCCTTTCGTGAAGGGACATCTGATGCTAACAGCGTCTCACGTCTCGCATCCCCAATCTCTCCGACTGTGCGTCATCGCGGCGACACCGTCGTATCTCCTCTCGCGTGTGGCTCGCTCACATGAGCGCCACTGGCTGTAATGCAGAGTTTATGCACATCTCTCGCAAGTAAGGAAGGAGCCGTAATTTCCCCGGCGGCCAACGCGCGGCTCTCGGTGGCGTTACCTGTCCTCCCTTCCTTCTTCCACTCACGTCGCGCGCGTTCCCTCCGCGCGCTTCCCTTAAACCTCCTCCAGCCCCCTGCCGCCTCTCCCGCCCCCTCCTTTACGTCGCGATGCTCTCTTCCTTTCTCTCTCTCTCTCCCGCGCGTGCATACGTGTACGTACGTGCAACATGGTGTACGTGTACAAGTATGCACGACGCGCGATTCCTCCACGTCGTCCACCATCCGCAGAGTACGACGAAGCACTCTGCCACGCTTTAATATTCAGACTATATGCAATAATTTCGCAGCAA